CCACCCGAAGGGCAGGTGTAAGGCTGGAGAATATCATTGTAGGGTTTTAGGGTTTAAGAAATATATATATATATATATATATATATATGCATATATATATATATATTCGTGTGTATATATGTATGCTTGTATGTATATGTATATGTATATGTATATGTATATATATATATATATATATATATATATATATGTATGTATACATATTTACATATATATATAATATATATATATACAAATATATATATATATATGTATGTATATATATATATATATATATATATATATGTGTGTGTGTGTGTGTGTGTGTGTGTGTGTGTGTGTGTGTATTTTTGGATAAATATATACGTGTGTGTGTGTATTTTTGGTATAAATATATACATCGTGTGTGTGTGCGTTCAGTTATATTCACACATGGTCATAATTGACTTACTTAATCACCAGGATGTAACGACAGCCGCTGGTGTCGTGACGTATAAACCATGCTCCAGTATCTTCGGGCTTCATCAGAGTATCCATGACCCGACGCTTGTGCGAGCGCGATAGTGTGGTGTCGAAGTATTGGAAACAGCTGTTGTGTAGTATCAACAATAAAATAAGAATGTGTGAATAAAGGTAGAGGACTTTGATCCAACTTGCGCAGGTTTAACAGCAAAAATGTATTAGAATCAAGCCATTCTGAGTATGTATACATATATATGTATGCACAAACATTATATCCATACATATACATATAACTAACACACACACATATATATCTATAGAGTATCCTCGTACACAGCTATATACATACATAGAAGTGCACACGTATACACATACATAGAAGTGCACACGTATACACATACGTCGAATGCTCGATAGTCTCGCCGTCAATGTACGTTCTGCACTCGGTATTCCCTATCCGCGAGATGTCAGCACTAGTTGCTTTGGGCAGTACTGGAGTAGGGCGACCCCTTGACTTCAGACTTGCGATCCCCACTGACTGGTGTAGTGAACTACTAACGGATATGTGTGAGTGGGCGTCTATGTGTGTATGCGGATCGTTACTGCACGCTCTTGCCAGCGGCAAGTCAGGCAACCGTCTGCCCCCTACTGGGCTGATAGGGTTTCCAGAGCCACCCCTGGGTCGTGCTGAACTGTTGCGACGATGTTTGGGACTATCTGGGGATGCTACGTGTAAGTGTGCACCAGGCTTTGTCTCGACCGCTCCTTGCGTTACGTGTTTGCGTAAGGGTCTTGGGGCCGGCCTTGGCTTGGCAATGGGTATCGTATCACGCGCTGGTGTGGGCTGGTTATTCGGGGCCAGCGTACCGCTTTGTACCGGTTTGATCAGAGCCCCTTCCTTGTCCAGTGAGGCAGCCCGCATATACCTGGGCGAATGGGACTCTCCTGCACGGGCCAACTCCGGTATGCGGTTGTGGATGTGGTGTATTCCAGCCTCCTTAGTCTGTGTTTTCTCCACTGCACCGTCCAACCCATACTGGGCGTTGAACGAAACAATCACATCTTCGATCGTATCCATATCCTCGTAACCGGATGTAGCGGTCACCCCTGCGCTGCTTTCTGTATCCACTCTCGAGCTTCCTCTGCGAAGGTCCGATGGCATGGCGTGTAGTGTATCATACGGTACGTCGACCGACCCCATTGCGCCCGAAATATCGGCTGTAGCATCCGACGGGATTGTATGCTGCCTGCGCATTTTGCCGACTGCGAAAAGTGTTGGGGTATAGAGTATAGGTATTTGAATGTTGTGTACAATATATATATATATATATATATATATATATATATATATGTGTGTGTGTGTGTGTGTGTGTGCGTGTGTGTGTGTAGTAGTA